TTTTCCACCCTTTCCTTCTTCCCAGGTTTAACTTTATTCCTGATTTTCTCTACCTCCTCCCTCTGGCGGTGCAGGGGGATGGAGAATGTGGGTTGTGGTCAGTTCCCCACACGCTGTTTCTGCTGCTCCTTCCTCTTCAGCAGGAGAATTCCTCACACTGTTCCCCTGCTCCAAAGTGGGGTCCCTTCCATGGGAGACAGTCTTCCACAAACTTCTCCAATGTCGGTCCTTCCTACAAGCTGCAGTTCTTCCCAAACTGCTCCGGTGTGGGTCCCTTCCATGGGGTGCAGTTCTTCAGGAACAGACTGCTCCAGCGTGGGTCCCTCTGGGGTCTCAAGTCCTGCCAGCAAATCTGCTTCAGCGTGGGCTCCTCTCTCCACGGGTCCACAGGTCCTGCCAGGAGCCTGTTCCAGCCTGGGCTTCCCATGGGGTCACAGCCTCCTTCAGGCACATCCATCTGCTCTCATGTGGGGTCCTCCACTGGCTGCAGGTGGGTATCTGCTCCTCCGTGGGCTGCAGGGCACAGCCTGCCTCACCATGGCCTTTACCAGGGGCTGCAGGGGAATCTCTGCAGTGGTGCCTGGAGCACCTTCTGCTCCTCCTTCTTCACTGACCTTGGTGTCTTCAGAGTTGTTTCTCTCCCATGCTCTCACTCCTCTCTCCAGCTGCAGTTGCTGTTGTGAAGCAACTTTTTTCCTCACTTCTTAAATGTGTTATCCCAGAGGTGCCAGCACTATCACTGATGAGCTTGGCCTTGGCCAGTGGCGGGTCTGTCTCTGAGCCGTCTGGCACCGGCTCTATGGGACATGGGGGAAGCTTCTAGCAGCTTCTCGCAGAAGCTGCCCCTTTAGGCCCCCTCTACCAAAACTTTGCTATGCAAACCCAAGAGTGCCTCCAGACTGGAAGCTGCTTGTAGGCAGTATGTGTGTGTTTCTCGCTGTTGGTTTTAAAGACTAATAATTTTGGGAGGCAGCAAGTCCTTTACATATATATATAAATTTGTTGGTCAGATTGTCATTCTCATAATGTCCTTTTACTCGGGGTATGTACCATAGCTGAAATGTCTGTGAAGTGTTTTGCTTATTACAAACTGAATGTTGCAGTTTACTACGTTTTGCAATGTAGTGGTTAACCTGTTTTCTGCTGATGTCAACAGACTTTGGTTCATTAAGACTTGGCCATGGAATCAGCCTTGTTTAATATTTTTATTAGTGACCTTGGCACTAATCTTCAGGCAACGTAGAGTTGTGAGATAGCATCAGTACAGAAGAGGAATAGATTAACGTAGGAAGAAATGAGTTATCTTTATAACATTGAATAGAGAAATATTTGCTAGAAACTTTTCAACTGGAGAAACCAGAAAGGAGGGACACCCGAGTGCTTTGAAGGAGGAGCATGAGCTGTCATCATAATATAGTCTTGAGTAAGGCAAGCGCAAGAAAAGGATTTGTGAGGGAACGTGGTGGACAATGATCTGGCGAGGCCACCCTGGCAATGAGTGTGCACTCTGCTTGGCTTTGACAGGCACAGCGCTGGGTGCTCACCACTCCCAGTGGGAGCGTTACGGCTGCCATGTTAAAAAAGGAAGCAGCAAGGCAGGCTGCCTGCCTCTTGTTTTGCTGCTTCATGCTGATTCTGCAAAACCTACTGGGGACAGGAGTTGGAATGTGTTCCCCTTAGAGAGGGCTTTTGGGGTGCGTTAGGTATTGGAGCCAAGCACTGACCCAGGAGATTTTCTATCTCCAATATTTAAGTTTCTCCCAGCACTGTTAGAGTGAGTATTAACAGGCTGCTCCAACAGTGGCCAAAGCCCCTGCCTCTCCCTGTGTAATGTAACATCTCTCTCCATGGAAAATGTTTGTTTCAGTACATTTCAAGGACAAGGTTCAATTCAGAAACAGAAATCCAAACTATTATAATGGCAATATGCAAGAACAATCTGTTTTCGGTGATATGTTGTCTGTGCAGCATGTTAGAAATGCCATTTCTAATTTCCATGCTCTGAATGCTTAGAAGGTGGTTTCCAGAGAATTAACAAAAAATGTACCTGAATTTTAGGGTCTTGTTATGCAGTGCTGTCATATCTTACAATGTTCCCTATTTGGGCTTTATCTGTACACTGTAATACTTACAAGGAAACTGGGTTTCTCTCCAAACTCAAGGTTCCTGAAGGATTGAAAGTTTTGTGTGTCGGTGGCAAGAGAATGGCCCATAGACTTTTAAACAGTTACACGTTTTGATCATTTGAAATAGTATGGATAATTTTATTTTAGAATAAACACTGTAATGGGACATGAGTAGTGAATTAAATAGCAAGAGGTCTTATTTGGTCACTTAGATGACAGCTAAATTGGGAGCAAAAGGAGGTATTGTGCAAACATATTGATGGAAACAAGTTCCCACAAAAGAAACGGAGGTGACTGGAATGTGTGAAGGAGCCTGGCTGTTACCTATCTGTCTTACCAGTGTCTGTGGTTGATGCACAGAAGGGAAGGATGCTGAGGTGGCAGGGGAAAGGTGACAGCACAAGTGAACAGGAGTGTTAAATGGTGCCTCTGTGAATTGCATTTAGTTCTCTGTTCTACTCTTGGAACTGTTGTTTTGCGACTGTGCTTGGATTGATTGAAGATGTGGTAATTCTGTTCTTCAGCATCACCACCTCTAAGCTGCTGGTCTACTGTAGGCAGAGCAGGAGGGAAGTGAGACATGTCTTAGTTCCAGTGCAGATCTACTTTGCAATGCCTGTTGCAGCCTGTGGGCTTTTGATCCCCAGGTGCTGCTTGAGAGCTTTATGATGGGAGAATCTTACCTGAGCAAAGCCAGGCCGTCCAAGGATCTGCACATAGAAGGTAAAACTCACCTTCTCTCAGTGACTCTAGTGCCAGTTTCTCCATAGCTCAGAGCTATTGTTTTGGACAGTGCACATCAATGACTTGGATCTACTTAGTTTTGCAAGCCTTCAAGTAACATGCAAAACTCTGTCAGGTATTACCAAGTCTCTAGTAAATGCACTCCTGTTCTGTTTGTACTTTATCACTTCAATTTGGCAGTCTTGAAAGCTGCTTTACTATTCCTGAGTCATTGACAACCCTAGTGTGAAAGTATCCAAATTGCACACCTGTGTGTACTTCTGCACTTCCCAAAGCGTGACTCAGGCTTCTCTTTCAAACAGTACAATTAGTGTTTCTTTCAGGAAATACCAGTTTCCTCTGATGTTTATTCCAGTCCACTGCTGCTTTGGGTTGCAGATGCAGAAAAATAAATAAAAGGGATTGGCATGCTTTTATGCAGGGAGGAAAACTGTAAAATTTAAGAGGGATTCTTTGATAAATCAACCATGAGGTGGGCAAATATATCAGCCACGGGCTGGCATATAGCTCTGACAGCTTCAGATAAATTCAGGCCAGCAGAATTGCCAGTGACTGAATTGTACTGTAATTAACAGGATTTGGGACGAGCATTCTGTCTCCATGATGGGAGTACTGGAGATGTCAAGTGATTTCATTTTTATTTTTTTTAATTATTTTTTTCAGATTTTTTTTTTTTCAGCTCCTATTTCTCTGTCTCCTTGAGCAAAACAGCTAAGCACAACTGGTGCAGCAGAGAGAGATGGTTGCCACTCTTCTCACTACTCAAGGTACTAGTACCTTGAATAACACCTGAGTTGTTCTCCATTACTGCTCTGGCACTTAGCTGGAGAGAATTGCTGTTGGATGAAGGAGGGAAGAGAGATCACTGCCCGCTTTCTCTCCCTTTTCCTTGTGCTGTGAGCTTTGCCAGGATACTTTGGTAGGGATGAAGGGAAGGGAAGCCAAAGGCACACAGTAGGTGTGGTGCAGGGCAATATTTGAAAATGGTATCATCAGAGGTGCAAAACGTGATTTTTTTGATAAAGAACAAGTGATTGTTTGGTCCTGACTATATTTAGAGCTATATTGCTGCTGTTGAGTATATGTACCCAATCTGCCATTAAGTCCTTGTCTTTTGGAAAGCAGTGAGTTTTTTCACAAAATATATTCACATATTATATCTAAAATATAGTATGTTTTATATTATATTTTAGGTGCAGGGCTGAAGGTTCAAAAGTCTGTTCTTCAGGTACACTTCCAGAAGGAGGTTCAGGAGATGTTAGGCTTCCTCTTAAATGCAGAGAAGAAAGGCAGAGCCTGAGTCCCTCTCCCAGAAGTCAGTAAAATATTGAACCCTGCTGGATTTCCCACCTGTGTACTTCCTTATCTGTATTTCAGTTTCTCATCCATTCTAATAAGTGCTATTTGGCTTAAGTTTATCTTTCAGAAAGACATCCAGACTTGCCTGAAGACATCAAGTGATGGAGAATTCACCACTTTTCTTAGCTAATTAATGGAAAGGAGTAGTTGATGAAAGACAGATTTATTCACTGGTTCAGTTGCAGCTGGAGAATTTATTGCCTGTAGTTGATGTGAAAAAGCACTGCCTTTATTTCTGAAAAAGCAGCAATATGGTAACTTGGTTTGGTCAATACTTGCATTTTAATATCAACTACTGTAGAAGAAGGACTAATGGTCCTAATACATGATAGTTACTTTTCTGGAGACACAAAGCAGAACTAAACCATCATGGCTGGTAAGTTGCATCTAGAACGTTTTTATATCATCAGAGAAGTGGGTAGACATCAGAGATTTTTGGTTTGAGCATGAACCTGGAAAAAAACCCTGACTTGAATGCAAGAATGCTGAGCCTTGTGGTATTAAGTTTACATAGGTACCACATCATGTGGAGTGTGATGCATCAGATGTGTTCACCCTGATATTCCAGCCGCAGGTAAAAGGAACTCTTGTTTATCACTTTGTATGCTATTAAATCTATTTTCATGAGCACGCAGTATCTTTGTGCTTCAGGATCAAGCTGCTGGTTACGTTTGTGAGTATTACTCTGATAGTGCTTGATTATAAAGTTTCCATTGCTTCTGTTTAAGTGTGTATTTTAAGAATGACTGGTATTTTTTTGTAACTTTGCAGAGTACAGATGCCAATTCAAATGTGAGGAAAAGAATGAATGCCACAGTACAGTCCGAAGCTGATGGTGGGAGCCGAATTGACACAAGGCACAGCTCCATTCAGCCTCCCTCTGTAGCTCAGGGGTCTTCTGACATTACACCCCACTCCCTTTCTGCATCAAGTCCCAACCCTTTCACACGCATCAATGCATCAGAGACATTATCTTCTGCAAGAGCTACCCCTCCAGCTCCTCCTTCTACCCCAATTTTAACAGGATTTGTATCCCAGCATGCCACAGCTGGATCCCCTTCCATTCAGCACTTGCTTGGATCTAGACTGGAGCAGATTCAGACCACCACACCTAATACGTTAGGAGCATCTGCAAAGCCGTCTGCTATCACACCACCTGCTCCCCCTGCCTCCCACTCTGGCACGAGTAAGATAGACAAATATGCACGCATTTTATTTCCTGTTACCTTCGGAGCATTTAACATGGTCTACTGGGTGGTGTATCTATCCAAGGATACCATGGAAAAATCGGAAAGTCTAATGTAGTTTTGCTGCTATGTAGTAGTTCCTAAATTATACTCACATTTGATGCAGAGTTTCTTCTTTTGAAACTATTTAAAAAGGTCAATAATTCTTATTTATAAAAGCTGTGTGCTACTTTCCCATTGTAAAGGCTGGAGTTATTTGGGGATAATTAGTTAACTCCTACCAGAGTAACAGGTAACAGATTTGTCTTCCTCCCTTCAGCTAGCAGTGAGCCGTCACTCTTGTCAGGCAGACTACTCTGGCTATACAGAACTTGCATTTGGGAGGAACATGCACCCAAAACAAATCAAAGGCAGAGGTGCACAGCTGTGCAGTGGAACACATCTTGACTGCTAGGAATATGTCTGTTGGTTATTACAGATCCCTGAGGCACCCAGCACTGCTGTCTGGACACAGTATTGCATTCTGAGTGCAAGGTCCATGTCCTGAGTATTTTGACAGTGCTTGCTAGAAAAGGACTTTCCCTGCTAGATTAGAATTGGTAGAATGGGGGGAAGAAAATGAACAGTGGAAAAAGCAAAGAAGGTCCGGCCTGGGAGAGTGCAACTCCAGAAAAGTTATGCAAAGGAGTTGTAGAGCTCCATATATTTTTACTAGGCATTATTTTGCGTTGCAACGTGGAAAATTCTCACTCCAAAATAAGAATGAGTGAACCTTGTAAAATCTGAAATCTGATGTAATTCTCAAAATTGGATTTTTTTGTTTGGTAAGGTGATCTTAAGTGTGTGATTCTTCTTTGACCTCGATGACCAGCTTGAGTGGATTTATTACTAAATTACATTTGTTGTGGTAGATGAGGACCAGGCCCACAATGTTAATTTTTTCATCTGAATTCTTTGTTCTTTCCGTGAATGCTTGGATTTTTTGTTTGTTTGGTTGGTTTTTTTGGTGGTGTTTGTTTGTTTTTGTTTTTTTCCATATTTTTCAGTCACACTTCTCTGATTTCCTTTGAACACATATTCCCCCCTCTGCCCTTTATATAGTGTTTGTGGCAAGTTAAATTTTCAACACAGTTTTAAAAGTGGCTTCAAAATTAAGCAAAACAAATTTTCCTGTGCTTTGATGAGCATGGCTATGGCACATCTCTGAGTGAATTAGAGACCCTTTTGTGAAGAAATGTGTTGACATAAATAAGAAAAGAAAGTTTATAGGTGAAGCCTGGAAAAAAGTTTATTTATGATCCATTTATTTCTGTTATACTATGGCATAGATTGGCGCTTTTCTTAGCATCTCAAATTGCAATATATGAGCAGGCAATTTTAATAATGAATTGAATAGTTTAAACCTGATAGAAATCTTGATCAGAAATGTTCTTTTCACCAGAATGGGTGGAAGATATGCTGGCAATAAACCTGAAAATGTTTGTACAGATCAATCTGGCTAGGCAAAGGGTTAGCATTTCTGTGCAGGTGACAAATAAAAGGCCAAATTCTCAGCTGTGATCTGGCTGTGCCTTTAAAGGGTCTGGACTAATCCCTAGCTTCAGTTGATTGGAATAGCAGATTGGTAAACCCTTGTCAAGGTTTTATGCTGGGGGGGGGGCAGATCAGGTGAGTGTTGAGTGGTTCTGTGCTCAGGTATTGATGAGCTGACTGATGGAGACCACAAGCAGCTGGTGTAGTTGAGGACTGCCCTAGACTATGTTGGGACAAGAATCAGAATAAAAAACACCCCATAATAGTGAAACTATGACTGTATCTCTGTGCCTCTTCCTGTCTCTCCAAACCTTTTAGCCAGTTCATGGCTGAGAATCTGACCTTTAACTCATGGGACCTGGGAGACTGCAAGAGCTGTGTACTACAGTGTGTAGTATGGATCCCAGGCTGCTATTTCATGTACAGCATTGGACTATCAATGATAGAATGCACAGGATGTGGGGATGTCTTACGTGACTCTATTAGGAAGTAGTGATATAAACAGTTACCTTAGTCTTTTTTTACTTAAGTGATGCTCTCAGAAAGCCAGGTATGATCCTTTCCTTTTTGGATTTTACATCTGGAAGTTGTCTGAGATTACAGCACTCCTTAGAAAACTTACATGTGCTGTAACACAGAACTGGAAATGGAACACCCATGCAAGATGTCTAACTGCAGTAGTTTGCATCTTTGGATGTATTTCTAGTTGCTGTGGCTGTTTCTTCCCTAATTTGGTCCCATTATTGCAGTTTGTTAGAATAGAAGATAGTATACAAGAGATTGTTTATTTATTTATTTTTTTTTAAGCCAGAAGAAACAAAGATAATCCTCTGGCAATTATTGATCAAAATTGCTAAAATTGCAAAATATTTCTAGTGTGAAGAACAATGGCCTTCTGTGTTGAGAACTTAGTGTTTGTGCCAGAAGTTACTGAAATGACTCTTTGCTTTCCTCTGATGAAAACCAAGGATGTTTTCTCAGGCAGAGCTTTAAACGATTCATTAGAAACAGCTGTCTCCTCCTCCCACCCATCCCCATACACTGATTGTATAATCAGCTTTCTCAGTGCATTGTTCAGTAGGATCGACATTAGTTCAGGCTATTTCACCAAGATCGATCCAAGTGTGCTACTTGGATTCATTTGTAGTTCCTGTTTCATTTTAAAGACTTAGAAGGAGGAAAAAAGGATTGCAAAAACTAATAGGTTCCAAATATTTATTTCTATGCTTCCATTTTGGAATAAATTTCTAATGATACCACAGGGAAAAAAAAAATCTATTTTTAATCTGTCAGTGCATTTCTGAAGTACCTTCCAACATTTGCATGCCTATGTTCAAAATGAGATATAAAAGAATTATCTCACTATGAGTCTAGGGCTAATTTATTGTTCTGTGCTACATTTTTGTGTTACAGCATAGGAAGAAATTACCACAGCTAGCTTTCCAAAGTACCTATGGATAATGTAAATAGGAATTTATTGTTAAGAGTAGTTCTTCATTATATTTAATGTCCTTGTAGAGTGATCAGAAACAGTGAAGAGTCTACCCTATACTCAGTAATACTGGCAGGTTCTGAATACTGTGTAATCAGAAGCACAAACAAAAGCAGGAATATCCTAAATATAGCGACCCAAGTGTTCAGCACTGCTAACTAAAATCCTAAGGAGACAACGTTGCAAGTGTCATTTCAGTGACCAACTGGCTTATTAGGGATGGGTTTGAGTGAAATGAACTCTACAGGAGCTATTTTTATTTTTTTTTTTTCCTATTGGCTTTGTTGAGCAATCTTTTTTTGACAGTACCATAGTGATTTAAACTAACCGAACACTTCAGATAAGTCATCTTTGTCAACAGGAAAGGAAACTGGATAGAAAGCCAAAAAACCTTACCAGGAAACAGAGACAGATCTCCACTGATTGCTGTTTCCTCGGAGACATTGTTACCAACAGCAAAACTCCCACAGGTTGCAGCCCCAACCACTGAACCAGTCGTTTGAGAAAACCAGTTAAAAACGCGGTTAAGGAAAACTGCTTTCACAGGAACTGAAATGTATTTTACAGTCAGTTGTAAGTAGGGTCAGATTTCTATCAGCCAGCTATTAACAGGCTTCACCGCAATTGCAAAAATAATGAAGCCAAGCAAGGTGGCAAACCTAGATCCCAGCCCTCCATGGTGACTTGAGCTCTTGGAGCTCACCAGCAGAACTGGAGTCTGTTTCTCCTCCTGTAAAATGGACTCATCTCCGTCAAATGGATGTTTGTGGCATATTTCTTCTCCCATGTGTCATTTAAGAGAAAAAAGTAGACTTTGTAACTGTTTAGTCAGCCACTCTATGTTACCCTGTCATGAGGCAGGTAGACAGTATGATAATTGAATGAGAGAGATAAATAATTTAATAAGGAAAGTGATTAAAGCTTTTCTATTAATGGGAGCTAAAAGTTACTGATTACAGAGTATTCAAGTGTAGCTTCTGGCATCTTATCATTTTCATCATTCAAGATGGTACTTGCAAAGAATTGGGGAAATCAAGTGACTGTATTTAGTAGGATGTAACCAGTATTTCTACGGAAGTGAATGAACTCAGCTTTTCAATATGCACATAATTCTGTCTCCTTCCACTTTGTGTACCTCCTGTGTTATTTGGCCATAGTGTGTCTTAGGCTGTAGTACAGTGTCTGTGTGCCATGTGAGAACATCAGAGTATAAAGTATATATTTATCGAGTTTATCCAAAGCCTAACATTTCCCTCCTCCTGTGCGCTATTGGAAGTGGAGGGAAGACCAGAATGGAAGAAATGACCACACAGGTTGTGTAAGAGACACGTATTGGCTACCTGGGACATTCTCCCATAGAGAGGACAGGAGATTTCCTAGGAGAATCTTTATCAGTGTGAGAATCTGGAGCACAGTTTCTGCTGTAGCACATTCTCCCTCCAAATCCTCAAGGCTTCCAAGAGATCTATTTAGAAAGCAGAGTGGATCATGGATTTTTCACATTGGGCTCCAGAACTTTTGCTTGACCCAAAAGGTTTAGAAGAAAGAAATTTTGGTGAGTTTTTCCTTGTCTTCCTGGGACTTGCCAATAGGGCTTGACTGCACTAAAATAGATGTGTGTTGTGTGGCTAGTGCTGTTGTGAATTGCAATACAGACAGCTGACAGAAATTTGCCCTTGGTTTTATTTAGTCCTAAAATTGAATAACAGATTAGGAAGATGGCAGCTGTAGTCTTGAGAAGCCTGGGTGAAGTATAAAGTTTACTGATGAGATGGATAAAGGCAAGGATGATCAGCGTCGTAGAAGTGTTGCAGAACTGCAGAATTCTGCTGCAGTAACTTTGCGGCAGGTCAGTGGGAAGTGGGGAGAATATGAAGTATGAAGTGCTTCTCTTCATAGTCTGACAAGCATAAAGCAATACAGCATAAAGCTGGAGGAGCAAAACTCTATAAATAAAACACCTTACTCAGTGAAAATCCAAAGGGTAAATAACCTTATGGAGGTCAGTGTTAAAACCGCGCCCCCCCCCCCCCCACCCCCCCCAGCCCAAAACCTATGAAAAAGATCCAGGGAAAAAGAAACCAGTTAAGTGTCAGTAGCATCTTTTCTCCCCAAGCATATTTTTTATTTTTTCAAGACCTTATATTTCTTTCACTGTGTGATTCCGAGGTAAGTTACTTACATTTACATTGTTCTAAAGACCTGTACTGGTGTCCACTGAAATCAATATGTGTTTTTCCTTGACTTCATTGCACTTTAAACAGGAAGTTTACTGGAAGGAAAAATGCACCATTTTGAAAGAGTCTGATATGTGTTATTTTCTACAGTCTTCACTTGTAGATCTCTCTTCAGAGTCAAGTTACAGCTTTTTTGGAGAATATGAGTGTGGTGATCAGTTTCAGTATGTTCTGAGTAAATCAGACTCTGAAAGTAAGTTTTTGCCACATCCCAAGCAAGTGAGAGTAGTGTGAAGTACAGAGCACTCTGAAAAGATCTCTCTTTGCTAATGTTATGTACTGTGTTCTTAACTGGAGGGAATGAAAAATGCAATTATTGTAAACCATTCTTTGTTTTCATGTTAATTAGATAATGTGGTAGGTAATTGTTTCAGAATTGACTAGCATTGCCTTCTAGTCCATAACTTAGTGCATTTACAAATATCTCTTAGACATTCTTATGCTTTTTATATAATTCCACTAGAAAGTACTTCAAAGTAAACCAGTTAGTATCCACTGCAGTTCACTACATTTTTTGGTCATAATTCTATTTTCATTTTCTTGTGCAAGAAAAACTGAGAGCGTGATGGCTTCTTTAAAATAAAAATAACAGCAGTAAAAATAAAAAGCCTTGGAGATTCCCTTTTTAGAAAACCATCCAAACTCCCATCAGTTATTGAATGCTCTTTTAAAATAATAGCATAGTTTTAGCATGTAAAAATACTAATGTGATCACAGTGTGGTTACATACATATATATATACATACATATATATATGTATCCTTTCAAATAATGTGAATTCCCTGAATTGTAAGGGAGGCAGGCTCAAGATGCACTTGCAAGCAGTCTTGTTTTGAAACAGTACCTTTGTGGATGGAAAGCACCGTGTTCAGTATGTATTTTTTTTATCATCTTCATATCTCTATTTTCAAGACAAAGATTCGAAGGAAGAATACAGTACTACTGAATTAATTCTTAACTAGCACAGAGATCTGTGTTATTTCTTGCTGGTGGTCATGCTGTTGTTGATCTGCTGTGTGGTTTTGTGAATGTTGTATCCACATTGCTGTTAACTAACATACTACTCTGTGGATGATCTGATGGCATAAAGAGGCATTAAAAGAAATAATCATTATTTGTGAATATCTTTTCGTCCTTGGAAAAAACTTAACTGGATGTTGGTAGAAGAAGCAGGTGACAGTATGAAGCACTCAACTGGACTTCTGATCTTGATGTATTAGAAAATTCAGTTGAGTACTGCTTTGTCTTGCCTGATTTTGTACTGGTGGCTCATCTCCATGGTAAGTAAAGATGCACGAGGATGGAGGACTCAGAAGTGAGCACGTACAAGTATTTCTTCACAGTGCTTTCAAAGTATGAGATAGATATAACCTTATTACTAATGGTGACTTCACCGTCTGCTTTAGATTTGCAAGCTTGAAAATCTCCTGTTCTGATAGAATGTACCAGGTTGTCAAATGAATAATAACATACTTTTCTTAAATAGATGATTCTATATGTGTATGCATTTAATTTTGTATTAATTTGTGGGAATATTCTCTGGCACCAGAGCAGTGGTGGAGATTTGAGGAGTTTCAGATAATCAGAATTCTTGGAGAAGTACATGAAAGCATCATTTTGCATGCCTTTGCACATCAATACCAGCAGTACATTCATGGTGGAAATTAATCTGCTTGTGCAAAATCCTGGCCTTGAGTATTTAACTCATATTTGAAGGGCTCGTGAAGTATATTGGGCAGGTGAGGACTCAGGGCATGTTTGGTCTAAGGGGCTTATGGATTGGATCTGGCTTATGTCCTGCCATCCTCTGAACCAGTCTGCACCAGGCAGACCACAAGCAGAATCCATGTTTTTTGTTTGGTGTTTTTTGGTGGGGTTTTTTTGGTTGTTGTTGTTGGTTTTGGGTTTTGTTTGATTGTTTTGTTTTGTTTTTAAGACCATGATTGCTCTACTGTAAAGTTGAATTACTGCTGAATGTAATGCTCCCATCTTCTTCCTTGTCTTGCTTTGTGTGGGGAAAAGTACTTCTGTGGTCTTGTTGAGCTGGCTGAAATAACTTGTCTAGCTAAAACCCAAGTTTGTCATGTTGCCTTTTGGTGGATGATTAGCCAGCAGGATCTGTTCTCTGATCTGGCTCCCTGTCTTAGTGCTGGTACAAAGGAGGTGGTGAGGAGGCTGGGATTGATGTTTTTTGCTAGGTTAAAGCTGGTGTGAAACCACAGCCTGAGGATTCTCATCGTGCCTTCACTGACATTAAAACAGAGGCGCTCTCGGGATTTTTTTGAACCTCAGCTGCCCTCTGTACTCGTTTTTTCTCCGCAAAAGGTGGTTTTGTGAATTACATCAATTACAAATAATGGAGGAAAAAAATATAAGCAAGCCAGAATTTATGAAAGAGCCCAAAACAATGAAGTTATGCGAAGAGAGAGAAAAGGAAGAGAAGGGAAAACATGAGTAAGGATGAAAAATTTAGTTTCTTGCTACCAAGCAGTTATTTTAAGATATGTCCTATTAGAGGTACTAGAACAGCATCTGGCAGGAAACAGCCTAGAAATAATTATTTCTTCATTATAAGTATAATGAGAAAGTAATAAAGAAAATAGGTTGTTAATATCCTCTTAGAAACATTTGTGTTCTATTGAGGTTGTTTTCATTAAAAAAGGGTATTTTCATCGTCAGCCAGGAAGAATTAGGAGACAGAATGGTAAGAGAAAAAGATTGAGTTTTATTAAGTGTTACTGTTTCCCTCATGTTTTAGAATATTTCTCAACCAAAAATGTAAATTAAAATTTTTTTCTCTTTCTGGGACTCCATATATTTAATTTTCAGTAAAGAAGCACTTTGGAACTTTTAGCATTTAACTTACTTTATGTTTAAGAGACTGAATACAGAGATTGCTGCCTCTGATTTAATTCAGCTATAGGAGGGGAGGAAAGAAAAAAGCTTTCATTACAGTAACAGCCAGTTTTTGGAAGTATAGTGCCTTCTTACTAAATCTGAAGACTTAATTCCTGAACCTGAATTCACAGGAGATTTTTAGTGCTGAGCATTTCTGATAATCTGGTCAGTACTACAGCTTGTGGGCTGCGGCTGCATTCAAATTAGATGTGTCTGAAAATGTACATCCACAACCTCAGCACTTGCACGGCATGGATCCTGTGAAAGGCAGAGATGTGTTAGTAACCCACCATAGGGGTGCATGAGAGTTGTTATGTTGCTGATGTGGGAGAAGGTAGGAATCTATGGTCAGAAATAGAGGGGAAGAAGGAGAGTGAGACTGCTTCTTTCAGAGATGGTGCAGTTCTTATATTGGATTAAGCCACCCACAGAAATGCCCCCTAAACTCTTTTTCAAGTAGGCAGTTGGGCACCAGCTGAGTGCAATGTGGAATTTAACACCAACTGTGAATTCTGCCCAAGGATCAGCACGGTTAATCTGTCTTAAGGTTTGCGATGCTGTGACTAGAAGACTGGAAAGATGTGAGCTAGCAGCTGCTGCCAGCTGGGATGCATCCACATTGCTGTGCATCCAAGCTGTACTGTGGGGTCCTTGAATCAATGGGGGTGGGATGGAAAATCCTTTCTTGGAGTATGAAATAGGGCAGACTGAAGCTGAAGAAATCTCTCCCTTCAGCTCAGCACTGCTGATACTCACTGTAACAGCACTGAACATCCCAAAAGAGGGCCAAAGTGTATTGCAGTCTTGTCTTCTTGCACATCTGCTAAGTGTTCTGGTATGGAGAGTGGTGGGAGTGACAAGTACATGTATGGTAATGAAACAGATCATGCTTAGTGCTGCTGCTTGGTATGTACTCACAGTCTTGTGCCAGCAGCTTGTTGGCCTTCCCAGAAGCAGAACTGCATCACTGATTTATTTTTTTTTTTTGTAGGTATAGTTGTTACGCCCCATCACTTCTCCTGTAGCTTAAACATTGGAAAAGAGGTTTTCTCTTTGATGCCTATTTCTCCATTTTGTTGTGTATTTGTGAAGAAGAAAATCAAACTGAATTTTTCTCTGGTTTTGTTTACTTTTTTGCAAAAAAGCAGTTTCCTCACCTGCATACATAGAAATCACAAGTTCTGTTGCAAACTCTGGGAAGGTAACAAACACTTCTAAGCCAACTTCAGGAGAATCTCTCTGTTTATTAAAAAGACAGCATTTGTTTTCAAATAAAATATCTCATTTGGAGAGTGTCTAGTTACAGCTTTTAAAATGAGCTGTATTTATCAAAATATTTTCTCTGTACTGAAAATGTTAATTTTATTTGTAGCCATTTCACTTAGGAAGGGAAGACACAATGAATGAATGTATGTGGGTTTACTGTTAAGCTCATTAATATATGTCATTGTGGGAAAGGTGTTTAACCATGTGATACTTAGTAGCCATTTCATAAATACATGGATTGTATTGTTTTTCTTTGGAGAATGTGAATATCATACGTAAACAGAAGGTGGGAGAATTTTGTAAAGAGATTTAAAAAGGCTACTTCTCACTTCCTATCTGCATATCATATTCATAAACAGTAAAATCCGGTAAGAGAATATACATGAGTAAAAGAAAAGACTGTCTTTGATCTTCATGGTCTCAGTTGTTCTTCCTAAGTATGCACGTTAACATCTTCCCTATACACCTCCAGGTTTTCGCTCTGCTGAGCCATGGGGGAAGTGCAGAAGGCAGTGCCTTTTCAAACAAGATGTAGGAATATTTAGATTCAGTTTATCAGTCCAGTCAGGAGGGCACTTCGTCAGTGCTGGCCTCGCTGAGTTAGGAACATGGTTTCATAGGTCTAAATTCAGTCCTGATGGAGCAATCTGTTCAGCAGGAGGAAAGTATCTTGGTTCTGGGTAAGAATAGCTGGGGCTGGAGGCCACTAGGCATTTTGCTAAGGTAAGACGTGAGAGTTGCATTAGGCTTAAGAGCTGCTCATTAGGTATTTAAAAACCTCTGGGTGTACAATCTAAATCCACGTTTCAGCATGACCCGCTACTTTTGCGCCGGTTTGATTCGTTCCAGACCTGTCCCTGGCCTTGCTCCCTTCCTTCCCAGCTGAGGTGGGGGTGGCAGCCGCGGGGATGGTGGGGGGTTCGCACAGCTGCCCCTCGGCTGCGGGCTCTCTCTGCCCTGAGCATCGCCAGGGCGGGCAGCGGAGAGGCCTGTGCCCGTGCTGGTGGCAAATAAAACCTGACAGCCAAGCAGCGAGGTGCAGGGTGGGTAGGGTTGGAGTACTGATCTTTAAAGACTGTCGCGTGGGTTTCAAGATCCATTGTTGGTGCAGTGGCATAGAGCATGCTGGATGCTTGAAATACAAGCCAGTTGCAGCGCAGACAGAAGATTTTTCTGGTTTCTAGATATTCTGGATGAGTGCTAGCACTGCCAGCACGCTTGTGCTGTGTGCTGCTGTGGCAAGGACCGTTCGGCTTGGATGGATGTGAAGTGTTGCATCACTAGCAAATATACAGAACAGCGTCAGTGTGTTAAAAGCCTGGCTGCAGACACGGTATTTACTTGCTGGTAATAAATAAGCCCCCTGATAGTTGCCTCAAGTTCCTGTTTCTCCTCACGTTTAACTGCTGCCCTTGTGCTCTGCCAATCCTGCCAGTTCTGGTATTCCAAATTGCTGAGGCACTTCTGCAAGCTATTAAAATCTGTCCATGTAACAAATGATGTGGAACATCCTTCCTCTCACTCTCTCAACTCTCAGTGGCCAGAGAGGCAGGCTGGGAGATACTAACTTAGGTGCTAATTCAAAGTGTAATAGCTATACCACCTGAGGAACCGAAAGAAAAAAGGAATTTCTGTGTGATGTGAAGCAGCTGCTATAGCTGTGTGTCATTTTTAAGCTGAAAAAAGTAAATAGTAAGAAGATGGTATTTGCTAGTATTTTAATTAGCTGTAAGCTTTTCTTTTCATGTGAAGCCCTGTCCATTGCATCCAAAGCATTTGGGTTTAAGTTTAGACATTGTAAGGAATAATCCCAGTGAAAAATACGAATATGTTTTCTGTAAAAGCTGTAGCATGCAGAAAATACACACTAAAGCAGCATAGTAGAAATGCTTCTTTAACACCCTCTTAGGAAAGTCCTAAATCCCCTAACTTCTCTGTCAATAA